ATATCAAGCTTCAGAGAATATAATGTGTAAACCAGCTGAAGACAGCCTATTAGCAGTTAGTCATGTTTAATTGGCAATTCTTCATCTGGACGGATGGAAAGATTTAAATAATAACAACTAGGTTTATTAAGCGGTGTTTATAAAGCCATTCATATGTCCTTTATGCTCCTGTTCTTGCCATACATTCAGCTTCTCTTGACTGTAGTGGACTACGTGCTATATAAACAACATGTTGTCCCGAAGCGTCTCAAAGACATTTAATAGGACATAAAACGTAAGCACACTTTCCTTGACTTGGCTAAAACAGCAATGAATGTCATTTCTGTTCATCAGCTGGACATTTCAACAATAATCTCAAAATACAGAGGTCGTGTGAAAAATTAGGTGGACTGCATTTACAAATTAAACTTCACATTAAACTCCAAACATGACCTTCCATATTGACTTACAAGATGCTGCACACAGGACTAATTCACACTCTCTCACACACACACACAAAACACAGTGTATTATTTTGCATGCTGGGAAGTCTGACACCACACCCTAGTGTTCTGCCTCCTACTGCAGATAAATAGCACCCTCAGTGACACAGATCCACCCCGGCAAAAAGAGAACTGGAAATTACAGAGACAGAAGAGACAGCAGTGTCACGCTGCCACAAAGACACCCCCCACCCCAACACACACACACACACGTTTCTGTGGATTGTGGGGACATTACATGGACTTCCATGCATAACCCAAACCTTAACTATAACTACTACTAACTTAACCCTTACCCTAACCCTAACCTTAAAACTGAATGACTTACGCTGTGGGGACCAGCCTGTGGTCCCCACAAGGACAAAAGTACCCCACAATGTCAGTAAATAAACAGGTTTTGGTCCCCACAATGTAGCATAAACTTGGTACACACACTCACATGCACACACCCCACCACAGACAGATTACACACATCGACACACACAAGCATCAAATACAGATGCCAGCCAGCTCTAAATCTGTCATAGTAGGCATGTAACTAATTGCTTGGTGTGACTGATATCCCTATACAGCTTTCACAATTAAATATACAAATTAAAAATTACTAGGCTATAATGAAGGAAGGAGAGAAAACGTTTCCAGATGACTGTTGCACTTAATAAATATTTCAGAATAAATGCTGAAAAAAAAACAGGCACATGGAACACAGCAATCTAATAACTAGCTATGCTGCTTATCTTCCTGGGTCGCAGGGGGTGCTGGAGCCTATCCCACCAGTCATTGTGTGGAAGGCAGGAAACACCCTGAACAGGTAGCCAGTCCAGCAGAGGGCAGACACACAGACATATACATTCACACACACACATTAGTCTAATAACTAATAAATTAAAAATGAAACAAAATCATTGAACCACTTTTAGCCTCAGTATTGCAGTCATGCAATTTAAAAATACACAACACGATATATGAGACTGTATAAATTTACGATACAACCACGTGCCTTCCTGGAGCCCCACATTTTCAAAACGTGTGTCTGAAACGAGCAACCATCCCCATAAACCGTTTGTATCCATAAATGCCAATTAACAATCTCTTGTTTCCTGCTTTAGAGGCTGCAAATGACTTAACGGACTAGATCTATAACCTCTTGCTTTTAAAAAAGAGAAGGAAAAAAAGACAATCTAAATCAATGAGAGTTTGCAGGGTTGAAAGAAAATGAACAAAGATGAGAAGAGTGAAAGTAAACCATGTCTTCCTCCTCTCTGTTCATTAATCATAGCGCTGTGCCTGCTGGGAGTGTGTCACTAGCCTATTTATAGGAGCTGCTTTCTCACCCAATGTAGCCTACATGTAAATATGAATCTTGCATTCAGTACAGTCAACAGCTCACAGGAGACCATACCAGGAAAACGGACCTCAATAAAGTACATTATCCTTTAGAAAAATTACATAATGGATATGTCCTAACTGAGGAGTCTTACTGGTACATCGCCATGTACTAAGGTACTGAGTTGTCATAATGCCCTTTACCTATTCAGGCTACGTATTCACATTACTGAATTCTATTTAATATTATTACAGCTATTCTTGCTATTTCTTAATATCACAAAGTACTGCATCATGCTGGGGCTTCAAAACACTTTATATGAAGGGTATTGGAGAGAAAAAGTGAGGAAAAACCAGACCAGTGGTGTCATTGGTCAGGCATCAAACAGAGAAGACACAGCTCTTAAGAATCACTTGATGCACCTGCTGCATACATCATTCACAACCAATATGTCAGTCCTTTTGAAACTTAACACAACAAATACAGACCATCCACTCACTTAACCCCTTCAAATTCTCAGAAACAGTGCATTCATGTCCATGCACTAACCTATGTCTTTCAAACTCACAACAAAAAAGGCAGTTTGACAAATCAGTTTAGCAATGTGTTTACATTTTTAAGGTTGACTCTGAAGTGAGCATAAAACCACGTAATTTTTAACCTAAGTTGGATGCAATAAGAAGAGGGACAACAGCAGCTGCTGTATGAGAGGAAAACGCACAAGGAAGTCTCTTAAATAAACTTTTGAATGCAGAACAAATTATTACAACATATTTCAGGTAACTTTTGTAATGAGCAGTCTTTTTAGCATCTAAAGCTCAGTTTTCACTGAATGCCTGCTACAGCCTAGGTTTTCTTTTCTATCAAATGACTTCGAGTAATTCCACAGAAAAAGTAAATTCTTACTGAAGTTGAAATGCTAAACTAGTGACTCACAACAGATGAGGAGATGTGGCCATGCCTGTGCAGTGTCAACAAAAGAATACATGCCATACACCCACCAACCGAACAGTGGCAAGGAACTCTGGGAGGTATAGGAATAAAGCTTTACAGGTTCTGAAAAAAACTGTTAAATACCTCTAGAACAATACCACAAAACGTCATGGTTTATGACATTTTGATTAATGTCAACGTTAGAATTTAGAATGAGGCTCCCGAGTGGCGCAACCGTCTAAGCGTTGGCCCTGTCATCAGGAGATCGCGAGTTCGATCCCTGGTGATGCTACAGCCATTCGTAGCCGGGAGTTCGAGAGAGCACAATTGGCCTCGCTCTCTCTGGGTGGGTGGGATGGCTGCCCGTCTCCCCCCATCACTCACTCAGCACGATGCTAGTCAGCGCAGGCGTCTGTTAGCTGACGTAACAGATCTGGCGGTTGGCGCTTTCCTCCGAGCTCGTTCGGCTGTCCAGTGACGTTGCGTGAGTGGCAGCTCGAAAAGATGCGGTGGCTGCTTTCACAGGTCTCGGAGGAAGCCTGTGTTAGCCTTTGCCCTCCTAGTGTTGATAGTACCGTGTGACTGGGGGAGTCCTAACTAGCGGGTGGAATTGGCGACCACTAAATTGGGGAGAAAACCGGGTAAAAATTGAAGAAAAAAAAAAAAAAAGAATTTAGAATGAATCAGGACAGTTTGACAGCATGATTAACCCCCTTACATATTTAACGGACCTGAGGGGGTTGCAGGGGGGGCCGTAATGATAAAGAATGTCCTTAGATACGCAGGATCCAGACCCCATGTGTCAAAGACAAGGCCCGCCACACAATCCTATCCGGCCCCCAAAAGCATTTTAATTTTCTTTAATTAATATTAGGCTGTTTCACAATGTGCTGCACTATAGTCCCCAGCATGCACTGCAACATAACGTGCTCTGACTCTCCTACCCCAACAACACCTCAATTCTACACAATTCTGCGCAGTTCTGCACCAGTCATATCACCAAAATGCATTTCAGCTGCAGTTTAATCAATATAAACACTTAACATCAGCTCAGCAGCTCAGAAATTGAGCCCAAGCCTTAATGAACTTGCAGCTAGAAAGGATGCCAGGTGTTCAAGCAAACAGGTAAGTTTAAAAGACTGAGCTCCTGGGGACATTTAAATTTTGAATATTTCAAATGTCCACGTAATATTTCAAGGTCTACTACAAGTGTCTGTATTTTACTACCGAAGTTTTTGCATATTTTGAATAAATAATGGCCAGTTTGGGTTATAGCTCAACATTAATTAAAAATTAAATAAAAACTTTTTTTTCTCTGGCCCAAAGATTTGATGAAATTTTTTAATGTGGCCCTTTTAGTGGTTGAGTTTGACACTGTTGATCCAGACCACGAACGGCTCTGAAAGTAAAATATTTGTATGTCATTTCCCTAAATGTCACTATAGAGCTTTTCAAATCATACATAATTTTCTCATTACTATAACAAGCCAACTTGCCCACCTGTGTCTATTCAAAGCTTCATTCCTTTTTTCACTTGTCATTCAGCAGCTTATTTATATCACGACACACTGAAGACCCTTGCAACATTATTTTAATAGGCATACAAATATTTAAATAACTGACTTACCTACAGAAATAGACAATGATCCATAGAAGGATGCCATCAGCAGGACATGGAAAGAGAAAAAAAACAAGATAAAATTAGTGCTGTCTGTCATAAATGGTCAAAGAGCTTAAACGGATATCATGCTGGCCTTGTGTTCAGCTAGTATTCTTTCTGTGCTGCACACTGAATAGGTATACTAGGAAAGAAAAATGGACAAGTTATGAAGACTCAAAGTTCAGAATGAAGGACTATTGTGTTAAGCAGCTCCAGCACACCTTGGCAGTAAGAAAAGACAGTAGCATGGTGATTGGAGTGTGGTGAGTGAACAAGAATGCGTCCCTGAAACACTTCAAACCAAGAGGCATTCCGTTAGTATTGTACACCCAGGATTACACGTGGTTAATAGGGACAGTCTTGCCCTACATACACACAGAGGTTCGCCATGTAGCACTGCACCCTTGAAACACCCAAGCCAAACCAAGCTAGCCAATTTTGAACGGAGCCTGATAATGCGGCGTCCAGTTGGGGAACAAATGTGTTAGTGATTGAGGTAAAGAGACTAATCACCCAAGCCAACCGCAGCCAAGGCACGGCTTGGGATCCACACAGTCATGCAATGAGTGGATCCATATCGTACACTCCAAAAACAAACCTTCCAGCATGGCAGGCAGTTCTGCCTCTTGCTCCCGGGGTTCTGCAAAGCTAGGGAAGAATGGTGGAGCAGCAGGGTTCAAGCCAGAGTTTTGAGGAGAGGGCAGTTTCGCTTCAGGTGATGTGGGGCTCTTTGACGAGGATGAGCGGGTTTTCTTGCCCTGCTTTGATTTGGTTTCTTTTGGTGTTTTGCTTCTTGGTGAAGGTAAAGGTGCTGGCACGGGTACAGGTGCCTCATAGGTGACACCCTCCATGCTAGTGATGTCGAAAGGCTCACTGTGGTTGTTCAGTTGCGAGTCATTGAGAGACCAGGCCGCTCCAGATGGAGAGAATGGTGGAGCTGATATCAGTGCCTCCATAGATGATCCAAAACCAGCACTACCAGGAGTTGACATCAAGGGGTCAACAACAGGAGCTTCAGCCAAAACATGGGTCCCCACAGTTGGGCCAATGAAAGAGGGCTCTTGCTCAAAAATGGCCTCTTCAAAAGGTCCCCCACCAGACACAAAGCCCTGGGTATCATTCATGGTGGAAGCAAGAGGGTCAGCTTTACCTGGGTCTACAGGGAGGGTAAATGCATCTTTGGTGTTTCCCAGATCAACACTGTCTGTTTCCATAAGTATATCTTGGAAGCCAGAGGAGACAGACAAGGGGCCTGTGGGTGAAAAACCTGGTCCCTGACCAGGGCATGTTGCCAGGGGAGATGCAGGGCTGAGGTCCAGTAGAGCTGGTGGGGAAGTAGCTGTCAGCGAAAGCAGATCCCGTGTGAGTAATGACGGCATGACGGACCCATCAGGGAAATCCTCGCTGAGAGAGACCAGGTCCTGGCCACAGGCTTCTCCAGCTAGAGAGGTTGTCAAATCTGTTCCAAAGCCTTGAGACCTGGAGGCTGAAGCAGGGACAAAGGGCTCTGCATGGATCGCCCACTCTTCTGGAATCTTCTTGCGGCTTTTTCCTTTCTTGATCCTTCCACCACCCCGGACGATGTCTTCCCGATCCCAGCCTACATCTCGATCCCGTTCTTTGCGTGGTGACGGATGATGTGATCCCTCAGGCAGAGAGACATTCTCGCCTTGCATTTCCAACTGACTCTTACTTTCCATTGGATCCCACAGGTCTTCTTTGGGCCTCCTTTTCTTCTTCTTCTTCTCTTTCTTGCGATCAGAACCCTCATGTTCTCTCTCATCTAGTTCCCCAAGTCCACTATCTCTGTGGGACCACTGGTTGGCAGAGGCATCTTGTGTACTTTCTGTCAGATGGCTCGCATGGCGACTGATCACCGTGGAAACACTGGGAGTGAAGGGCAGGTCAGAGGGAATGCCAGCATCATCTGGCCAGCGGTCAGCAGAGACACCTCATATGCAAAGAGGGAATAAGAGTTAGCAGATTACATTCTTCCTGTCTCTCTCTCTCTCCCTCTCTCTTTCTATCATACACAGCATATTTTAATTTAATATAGCCTTTAGTATCTCACACTAGTAGTGGTGCACTGTATAGTCATTTGCAAAAGTTTGGGCAACCCTAATCTAATTACATATAATATAAATTAGTTAATTACGTCAAAGATTGTTTTGTTGGTACAGAAACTATGGGTTAATCAAAACGCATCAGTTTTAAAAAGTCAGTTTGAAAGGACCTCCATTTTCATGGTAATGCATAAGATCCAAGATGTGCATATTTAGTAAAAACACTACATCACTTGAGGTCAATAATATTCCATATGTCTGTACTCCCTCAGCTGCCTAATAATGAGCTTGTTACTTGCTACTTATATTGTTTCAATCTTTACTGTAATATGTACATAGAAGACGGTATCCTGTATCATAAACTCATAGACATAATGCAGTTCTATCTCTGTTTTGGCCACTGGATCCTACACTAGACTGACCTAGTTATCTTTATTCTGAAAAGTTCAAATCCACTCTTTAATGTCAAGAGGATATGGAGGGAACATGTTGCCCTGTGGGCCTGTCTTTTTGATAAATGATACACACAGACAAATGATAGACAGATTTGCTCTCATGGCAGGGACTGGGTAAGAGAGGACATCGGCCAGTGCGATGCACTGAGGGATGTATATGCAATCTACTATCAACAGCCTTGACTTGAGTATTTATTTAAAAAATACTTTTTAAATAACTGTTCCATGCTTTGCTTGGCTCGCAAACTTATCTGTTATTATGATGTTAACATGCATCACTGAATAACAAACTGCTATAGATATCTTTTGTTGCAACATCCGTAAAGCAGACATAATTTTTCTTATATTTATTTTTCCCCCCAAGGTCCATGGTCTATGATATTTGTGTGGGTTACAATTATGATATTTGTAATATTATTATTATTATTAAATATTATACTGGGCCACAATTTGTATTCCATGATCATTTTGTGATCTCTCTTAATAATATATATATATATACACACACACACGTGTGTGTGTGTGTGTGTTTGTGTGTGCGTAAACATATATGTAAACAACCTCTGTTCTGATTGGCAGGCCTGTGTTGTGCTTTATTTAAAAAGCAGTCTGGGATGAAGCACTCCTTACAACTTCAATATGAATGGGCAGGACTAAGCTGCTATATGCTGGATATATAAACAAGTTGTTTTTGTGACATCGTTTATATATTCACTGCTGTATGACGTTGGATATATAAACGATTTCTTTTTTGAGAAATCACAAAAACAACTAAATTACAATTAAAACAAGCCATTTTGCTAAGATTCCATATATGGACTATAGGGAGTGGTTAAAGTACATTACGTTTTTTAACTTGTTTATATACTACTTCACACTCGTAGTTAAAAAAGGTGAGGAAAATTCAGTTTTCCATTTTCAATTTCATATATGTGAAATAGCATGACAGTGTGTCAGTTCCAGTGCTAATTATGAGCTTTTAAGCACCTCTCAAATGTTCCCAAGTCTGTGTTTAATAGCCAGGCATGACTGTATGCTGCCTGCTGACTATGTCACACACTTGCTGAATGTCCTCAGTCGCTCACCAACCAGAGATGATCAGCATTTTAAATCAGCACACACAAACCGCCAAGCGAGCTGAACTTGTGTGCGATTCATGCCACCTACCATGGCACAACATTGAGCCTCAGCTGTACCGTACCATGTCACACAGATGCGGCCATTAATGACACCCTGGGAGCACGAGATGGATGGCACATTAGGAATACTTTGACTCTAGAGCTAAGTTAATGTATGTATAAAGCTTTTTACTGTTTGTGTCTGGTTATAGTGCCCCACAGTGGCAAAGCAAGGTCAATGCATGTGTCCTCTGATGTAGCTGGATTTGTTCAGAGGATAAGCGTGACAGGGGGGTCTCCTGCTGTAATCTCATAATCCTCTGTAAAATCCAAACCTCATCAGTGCAGCTGGGGGAGCATTGGGGGGGGAAATGACTGCATATTAGGGCTAGAGAATCTGCTATAAACACTATTTGGCAGATGGCAGGGTCATAATATTGACTTGTCACACACATAATGTCACATTATCATAAAGACACTGAGGTCAAACTCTTTGCATCAGTAACGTAAGAGACGTAGCTGTGGTTCTGCAGGATCTGAAAGAAATGCTGTAAAAGTGTGTGGTAAGCTGTGTGCATCTGGGTGTGCATCTGTTTGTCTTTCTCCTCTACCTGGAGAAAAGTCCACAGGGTTCTTGGGTGTGGTAGGTGCCTCTGAGGCCAGTGATGGCAGTTTCTGGCTGTCTGCAATGCTTGGAGGTTTTTCTGGCTGGAGTGGTGCAACTCCAACATCCATATTGATTCCCATCCCCATCGCAGGTTGAGAGAATCCTGTGGAAACAGAAAAGGTTCAAGACTATTATAGCATACAGAGGTTTAGTGCATCTGTAAACCACAAGAGGAACTGCTACATTTCAGTGTTTGGAATTCTTCTGAATTTAGCTAGCAAGCTTAGTTACTTACCAACAGCCAAGAACCTGATTTAATTTTTAAAGCCAAATCCTAACAACTAATACTGAAGACAGCTTTCTAGTCAGTTTTATAAAATACACGCATATTTCTTTGTGCATTATTACCTACCAGTAGTGGACGGCAACAAAGCACTTACTCTAATGTTCAAAAATTTGGAATCACCGCTCTAAAATTTGAATCCACTGTTTTCACAGATATAAAACCATTTTTGCTGCGGATACATGTATAGAATGATTCAGTTAGGATGCCACTACTCTACGTAGGTCTTTCACTAATGTGTGCTAGTTTGGAGAAACTGCATAACACTGAGAGTGGAGTGAAATACTGTGCATTATATTTAAAAGGTGATCAAATCTAGAGGCAGATAATGTGCTGAGAAATTAGACAAGCATAATACCAGTTATGCATATAATATAAAAACTAAATTACATCATATTATTTATCATTTAGTGTGTCATTGCTGTCCCCAAAAACTTGAAATACTGAATAAAACATCTAAAATCTTATAAACTCTGGTGTTTATAACATTTAAATCTATTGCACCTAAATCTAAATGTATTTTTTAAGAAAATCACAGCAGATATCAAAAAGGCAGGTGATTCTCAATTTTAGACAGTAGAGTAAATACTTTTTCTTCCAAGTATCTGTACTTTTTTGTTCCATTTTTTGGGACTTTTACTTTCTGTCCTCTACATTTAAAATATCCCAGATTTTACTCCACTACTTCCTGCAAAACCCAGCTTGTTAACTCTGTGGGAGAAAACAGGACTTTCTAAACATGTCTGAAACATATTAAACTTAATAAACATAATGAACTTTTAAATAAAGTAAAAAAACAATGCAGCACACCTTTCACTAACCCCTCCTACTACTGTCCAATCATAATTCAGGATCTGTAACTAGGCTTGGGCACCTCTAACAAGCCTTAGGAACTTAGGAGTATTTACAGGATGCCTGTGAGTGTGGAAGATCCCAGGAGAAAGTAATTTGACAGTGAAATCTGACCCATTTCCTAAACTGAAGACATGAGAGGAGAGGTGTAGGATGTGGATTAAGCAGTGTGGAAGATCATATTATCAAACAGGCATATAAACAGGCACAAGAGCTCTAAGGTGCTTAGCTATATTACTCAGCTTTTTTTTTTTACTTATTGTTATCTGTAGGCTTTAGTTTCTATCTTTAGCTATTAGGCTGTCAAGAGATCAATATTTTGTATGTAGGCATCAAATGCATACTGGAGATGTTTTTGTTTACTCCTTTCTAAAATTTTGGATGTACTGAAAGTACAGAAAGTACAGAAAGTAGGCTACTAAGAATTTCATGGGTTATACTGTCAACTATGGAGTAACCCAGGACACGGCAAGTTAATATATCACTAAATTACTGTAAATAGATAAGAACAGTATAACAAGTCCAAAACATGTTCCAAAACATGTTGAGATACCATCTGGTATCTAGCTTATAACTTTTCGCCCACATTGTTTATTACTGACTGAAATAACAGCAACTATTCTGACAAGTGAAAGCAAACTTTTGTACTTTGACTCCAGTACAAATATAAAATGAGGACTTTTACCAAGCGCACCTCCACTTTCACTTAAGTACAGAATCTGTGTAACTGGTCCACCACCGTTACTTACAACCAAGGTCAACATTTGTGACAAAACCAACATTGCTGAATTAAGCAAAGCAGCTCAACATCACCTTACTATTAGTTTCAGCACTAGACATTTAATGCTGTAAATAATTAAACAGAAACTTTGAAAACTGCCAACCTTGAGCGGCAAAATAAAGCATTCTCATCATGTGAAAGAAACGAGAATGCAAATATTACAGATATTCTTTAAGGTCACCCACTGACAGTCAGATGAAATAGCAGAGGAAAGAACGTCTGAGCGGCTGGACCTGATGTGAATGTTGATGCAAGGATGACTCATCACCTCAACGAAGTGAGCTGTTTTCAATCTGTTCCCTGCACCGTGTCTCAGTAGTGGCATTTGAACCAAGATCTATCGACAGACGAACACTTTCAGAGAGCCACGTGCAGAGACAGAAGGCCATTTGATTCGGCTAATGAAGTCATTTTCTTTAACACGGGCCATTAGTGCTAAAAGAGGGCTTTGGGGTCATTGGTTTATGAAAAAAAGTGCACTTTTCTAATTGTCATCCCTGAGATTAGAGAGTAGAGTGAATGCAACAAGTTTTCTCTATCCAAGCACAGAACACTTCAGCTGAAACCACAATTGCATTTAAAATAGCAAAAACAGACAGACAAAAATGCCAAAAAAGCACATTTTATCCTTAAAAATAGCCATTCCTGGTGGCTATTTTGCACTTTCAGTCACCTAATTCAGTTTATTCATGTGTATTAAGTTGTATCTCTTGACACTGGGAAATTACATAGCCGAATTAGCTTGTGCGCTTTTGGTTGTTGAATGCAGATGGCAAACTTGATTGGTCCCTGGTGATGGGTGAATCTTCAGAGGATAATGCTGTGTTCATGTTTTCTTCTTTAGATTAAGTTAAAATGGGCATGGTGGCAAAGTAGTGTAAGTCCTACAGCAATTGATATACCAAAAAAACTTAGCAAGCATAGACTTTTATCCCTCCTAAAACTGAAAGTAATGACGCACTCACTGATCAAGACATGATTGCACATTTTTCAATTATTGGACCAATAATAATGGCAGTGGCTCTGCAGTGTTTTGCAAAGCTACACAGCAAGAGAGTGGCATCAGTTGAGTGAAGATATTAACCTGAGAAAGGTCCCATCAAGCCACTGTCCATCATCTGTGCAGGGTGGGGCTGAGCACCCCACTGATCAGGATAACCGGCCATAGAGCCTAGAGCAAAAAGGAGGGAGGGAGGGAGGGAGGGAGAGAAGGGGGGAGAAAGCGAGGGAGAGAGTAAACCAGAGGGGGAGTCACAAAGAGAAAGCTTGTGTTTGTGTTTCAGAAACACAGAGAAAAGATGATGGAACGAAAGAGAAAGAAAAACAGAGACGGAGAGAGACAGTGATGGCACAAGCAGCCACCAGCAACAAGCACTCAGACATTGAAGCGCGAAAAGGGGGGCACTTGTGCTATTCATTTTTATTTGGAGATGACCGCTGAAATATTTTAATCACACTTACGAAAGTGATTTCAAATGCAATCAACCGTTAATAAGAGCACATTTCAATCAACCTTTGAGATAAACTAGTGTCTGAAAATGGCTGTTATTTTTAAACTGCTCATCACTACGGATTAAATTACCATTAATATATTGCATGTATCCTAGCAGCGGTTGGTGAGGCTTTATGGCGTAGCTTAAATATGACCAAAGAGAAGCTCTCACCTGGCAGAAAGTCTGAGATGAAGGCCTGCTGATCTGCCTGACGTGGCCACAGTTCGCCCTGCGGCTCTGGGTGCGACACTGAAATATGTCCCCCTGGTGCCACTGATGAACCTACAGTGCCTGGAACGAGATCCAAAGAACAGTTCCTTCAAAAACAACATATTTCAACAGTTACTCAAGTTTTTCATACTCTCCGGAGCACAAAACATTATAGAAGCTCTTCCACAAACTTACCTTCAGCCCAATTACAGACCAAAGTCTAATCCCTTGCATACTTCAGTTAACAAACAAAAGCCAGTTCCGTAATCTCTGGTAGCAAGGCGTCCTGCGAGCTCTCTACGTTCGAAGTGTGTGCGGTGGAACAGAGGCCTGAGAGGCGTCTCTGTCTGGGTGTGTGTTTGTGTGGCTGGCACAGTCCGAGCCCGCCGTCCCGTCCCGTCTCGGCGGGGAACCTCCTGACTGGACGTGGGCCTGCCGCCTGATCTGAAGTGGCTGCTCTGGCCACAGCAGGGGAGACGCAACCCTCCCACAAACCTCCCTCTCTCTCTCTCCCACCCTCCCTCTCCCTCTCTCTCTCTCTCCCTTTCCCCTCATCCCTCCCTCCCATGGCGGGCCAGAGGGCTTAACAAGGGTGACAGTGAGAGAACTCGACAGGACGACACCCACAGTCACTATGGCACCACGGGTCCCCCAAAAACCCAGACAGAGCTGCCGGGACCTCCGGTTAGGCTTGCTGTTGGTGAGAATTGGGCTCAGATTAAAAGCAGATCCAAGCAGTCATTATGTAGCCTGCCCCTGTGCAACTGTGTTTCGGAAAATTGTCGGAGGTGACAGAAGTTTCAAGCTTGTTTGGCGAGGATGCTATTGGGCTGGTCAGAATCTAATATATTAGTAATCGAGAAATTTACAGAGTATTTTAATAAGAGTAAGGAATGCAAAGAAAAAAAGTAGACTGATCAATAACAAACCACGCAAAAATGTAAAAATTCTGTTTATAGGAAGGAAGGGGAGGTGACAATAGAGGTCAAGAGTCTTATAATTTAAGGCTATCAGAGTTGTCGTTAGGGGCGGGAGATATGGCAAAATGCAATATCGAGATTAGTATTGTGCATTCCGACTAATTGTGATATTGGAGTATCCATAGCAGTTAATGAACGGACTCCCAGTTAAAGGCAACAATCTTTTCCTTCCCTGCAAAAAAAGTGACACTAATTTTAGTACACTAAAATATTCAAACATGATTTATATTAAAATATAATCAAAAATAGTCAAGGGAAATCAAGGTTTTCATGCTGGATGAATGGAGGCTGCCTCAGATAAGCTGATAAGCTAACACTGATGTACAGCTAAATGGTATATCGTTGGATGCTGATGCTGAAGTGTTTTCTCCTCACTGGAAGACATGCCATCATGTTTAGTTTGTCAGAGTATGTTAGTTTATGATAGTTTGTCAGAGAAATATCTGGATATCTGTTTTTGGATCTAACTGACATCAGCTACAGTAAGTTAGTTAACCTTGTTAGTGAAAAAGATACGCAAAAGCTGACCGTATCTGCCTTTCTCAGTCACGTCTGTGACAACGAATCATTGGCAACACACTCACATTAAGGCACTCTGGTTTCATAGCAGCAAGTATAATATACTTACTTGCTTGAAAATAGTCACATTTTGCAGTCATGTTAAAACATAAAATCGCTGAACTGTCAGCTTGTTTAATATCTCCCTGTGATGAAAAGCAACAAATACCTGAGTAGTGACTTCAGCATTCGGATACTGACAACTCGAACGATTAACCCATTCACATCTCTAATCGCCATACTTCAAATATTTTCACAATATCCATCAGGACAGTTCGTTTTTATCAGTTCCAACAGGAAATGCCACATTCAAAAATACTATCAGAAACTATGAATAAAATTGCTTTTATTAAATACTTTATAAAATACGCTGTAGTGAACTAAACCCACTTATACAGGACTAATTATGCTCTCTTTCCAATAAAACATGCAGTTTGTCAGTGTTCAAGTAGTGATGATAAACACAATATGCTCGGAAAATTTAACTGTGACGCAATCAATCACAATAATGACAAACACTGTCCTACTGCCCACCCCTAGCTCTATCAATTATATTAATACTCAAGTGTGCCAATTATTTTGACAAGCGAGTAATATAAGTTTTTTTTTAAAGGCCAAACAATAAAAAGTTAACTAAACAATAAACCATGCAGAACCTGTCAAAACGTTCCCCTAAAAACTTCACTACATAAAGATGAATACAAATGGATGCGCATATGCATTTAAATGGTCGTCTCTGTCAGGCTGTTTCTTACTATAAGAGAATTTAAAATAAGCATCATCTTCATGTAGTTGCCAACTTATCACTGATGATTCATCAAGAATTGTTTTTAATTGTTTTTATGTGACAGCTCTTGATGCTATACAGCAGCAACTACCGCCCAATGGGGTTCAAATCAAAATCTAAACATATACAGTAGTGCTTTAAAGATTATTGCCATACCAGCCCGTGCCAACACACCCACCCACCCAGTGCTGCGATCATGAAAGCTCTGCGAAAGCCTGCGTCCTCCTGTCACTTTGAGTTTCTGTGACCTGACCTCCTCTGCTCTGCCCTTCCAGCTCTGTCTGCTCTCACAGCTGAAAGAGCCACAAACACGGCTCACCAAATCATCTTCACATTTCCCTTAAGATAACATTCTTCTGACGTTAGTAAAAGCACGGGCATATTAGCGCCGTCAGCTAGATTTTCCTTTATTGTTCTGCTTGTCAAAAGATCACATCTCCATTTCTTACCTATATAGAACAACAATTCACATAAAACAAGGTGTAACCCTACTGATATTTTATCAACAAAATGTAGCAGGAGGACCTTCTGAAAACAAGCCAAAATGCCTGAGCTTTCAAAGATACCAGGCAGTACTGACTAAGCAAAGTAACTTCAGCAGACATCTGGCGCATGGAACGTTACGTGTCATCTTTCCGAAAAGGCTCTCCGAGTCTATGGAGGGCAGATGCACAAAAAGCCCAAAAGCAGTGCACTGGCACTCATGCGGCCGTTTTTAATCCGCGTGTCCAATCAGCGCTTAAGGCATGTCAGCAAGTGAAAAACCTACTGACTGACAGGAGCTGACGGGCTGCTCGCCTCAGCAGCGCAGCACACAACTCGTTTGCGTTTGTTGTAGATGAGTCTGCCTAATGAATCTTTATTTGGTGACGTGAATTATGGTGATGCACACAAGTGCCACATATAGTCAGGTCTACAAGGGCTTCAAGGAAAAGGCAATCGGACAGCGGATCCATATGGAGACATGACCACTAGTCAGGTTCGTCTGGAGGATTACAACAGCCCCAGCCACAACTCTGATCTGATGTCTGCTCTGTCTCGGTGAAGGGTGTGCTGTAATCAAATAGTCTGGGATAACGACAGCTAGCACAGTTCCACCATTAGCAAAGGTCTACAGTGCATCACTGAGATAAAGGACAGGAAAAACACTTCCTCAGGCTTCGGTTAAGGACAGACAGTCAAATCTGCTTTCTTACACATATCCTATCCCAGTAGTCCATTATGTAAAAAGAAATAACCAGTCCATGCCTTTGAATAAGACAGACAGTTATGGCTGAATAAAATTCTAAAGAGTTAATGCTGTTTGGAAAACCCTAGAAACAGCTGCCTCCAAACAAAATCTTTATGACTAAATGCAATGCTTACAGAGCTGTTCCTGAATGAAAACTGAGACTGGTCTGTAGGGAAGTTGGGTCTCTCTCTTCAGCATGAATCAATCAGTTTCATATTTCAGTATCATAGCAGGATTAGATGCCTCGACAGAACTCTCATCAAGATTACGTGCTTCCTGCAATCACATTCACAATCAAAGTCGCACAGTCAGCTGAGTCAGGTAGCACATGCACACGCAAATTAGGCAGAAGGAAAGGCCTGGGTAATCTAAATTACTGCATCACGCATAATTAATAATGTGGCATTAGAGACAGTAACTGTATCACATGCATTTAACTGTAATGCGTTACACTTGTTAAAGGAAAAAGTAATCACATTACTGTAATGTGTTACTCCGACACTGCTAAATTTAACAAAAAGATTTAGAGCTACACTGACATAGAAATACTTCAGCTTGTGTAAATTAAAAAAAAGAGACCTCATTTGACCATTCTGAATTCCTCTTCTACAGTATCTGGGTTCAACTTTACTCTGCACAATATACAGCACAGTGTCAGTGATGGTAATGTTCCTGTGGATGAGACTTAGAGGGAAACAGCAGTGAAGTGAACAAGTGGCAGCTAGCACGCTGGAAGTGAATGAGTGTGTTGAATAACAGAGCCCACGGTCCAGAATGGATATGAAAAAGCAGAACACTCTTAGCTCTGGGCTCTCTGCAGTCAGTAAATACATAGCCTAACTTATTAAAAAGCTTCATAAAAAAAGACAAACTGCACAAAGACTGAGTGACAGAGGAGGAGAGAGAGAGTGCAGATGTGAGACACACACACACAAAAACATGTACCATCAAACCATGTGACTGGAGCCTGGGCCAAACCTGCCAGGTCATGTTGTGTTCCACTCCATGAACTCTGTCCAGAAAGCCTGGAGTTCGGCAAACAAAGTGACCAACAAATAAGCTAACGTATTCAGGCGTATTCCCTTTTGTTGAGAGTCACCTGAAAAAAGGAAACTAATAAGGAGAGGCCCAGAGAAAGGCTGGAGGCTTGTCCGGCGTGTTGGGGAACACTGAGGGGAAAGTGAGGAGAGTACAACTTGGCAGTGCCTGCAGGAAACTGGGAGCTTTCGGTTGTAGATGAAAGTAGAGGAAATGGCAAAAATTTAGTATTGAGATACATGAAGATATTGTAGCGCTGGCTCAGAGGACGACGCAGACAACATAGCACGTACAGGCATAAAGGCTTTTGAACAGACACTTCAACGGCAGCAAGAAATGCCCAGCCCAGCGCTACCTCAAATAGAAAAACAGGGAGGGGGTAATGCAGGAGAACACAACATCCGAGGAGGGTAGACACTTCCAACACACTGTGACCAGCCCTCTTCGGTTACAATTACTCTAATTAACTACAAACCAAACCACCCAG